CCTATCAGAAAACGAAGGTCACAAGAGCTTGGCTGTATTCTCATGATATGGTCAACTCTTATTTTGAGGAGGCAGCTCTTCCCCAGTTATATTTTGAGTGTCTTCCTATCTGAGCATGTCATCTTCTGGCTCTATATCTGACAATGTTCCTCTGCTATTTATAATGTTTTCAGTGACTGACCTTTTAGAAGTGGTCTGCTTGCCCTCCCTCCTAGTCTGTCTTAATCTGGAAGCTCAGCTGAAACCTGTCCACCATGAGTAACCCTGCTGGTATTTAGAATACCGGTGGCATAGCCTCCAGCATCACAGTAACACTCAGACAGCTACAGTATGACAGACTGATAGATGAATGGTGGAATTAGGTCTATGGAGGTCAGAAAATGAGTCTTAATTTTACAGAGTTAATTATTTTATGGCCTCAACTTCTTCCAAATCCTTCTCAGGAAATGAGAGACTAATGTAGCACACTAACGTAGGATAGATTTAGGGGGAAATTTTGCTTTTCTAGAAAATTGTTCCTTTTTCTCATATATTACTTTAATGAGTATTTACATCTGTTGTTGTTAAGTGCCATCGAGTCGGTTCTGACTCATAGCGACCCTGTAGAGGGTTTCTGAGGAGCCTCTGGTGAGCTTGAACCGCGGACCTTGCAGTTCAAATGGCTTTGCAGTCTGGCGCATTAACCCACAGCGCCACACCAAGACTCTCCTCATCTATTGGGTGGGCATAATAATTCAATAAAGTTGTTGTTGTTATTATGTGCCGTGGAGTCAGTTCCAACTCACAGCGACCTTGTACAGGGTTTCCGAGGCTGTAAATCTTTATGGGAGCAGAAAGCCTCATCTTTCTCTAAGTATGAGATAATCCTTAGGCTCTGGAACAAACAAAGCAATCAGTGAATGTTTTCTCGACCATAGTCCTAACCACTCAGACATTTTAAAGTGGAAACAAGGAGCTGTTGCACTTTGTAAATACTGCCGCAGTTAGCAGGAAAATTTTGCTTCTACTAGGCATTTAATTAAAAACTACTGTCAAGTCTCTTCCAGCTTGTAGCCACTCTGTAGGACAGAGTAAAACTAACCTCATAAGATTTCTAAGACTGTAAATCTACAGAAGTAGATGTTGCTAAGTGCCATTGAGTTGATTCTGACTCCTCGTGACCCTGTATAGGGTTTCCGAGAAGCTGCTATTGGGTTTGAAATGGCACCTTATGGTTCACAATCCATTGCTTATCCTACAGCACCACACCAGGAGACTACAGAAGCAAATAGTTGCATCTTTCTCCTACAGACAGAGTGACTGGTGTGTTTGAACTGCATATTTTTTGGTTAGTAGCCAAGTTCTTTAACTACAGCATCACCAGAGCTCCTAGGTATTTTATAGATACTTTATATACCAGCAGTCCTGGTGGCACTGTGAGTTAAACTGTGGGCTTCAGTTCAAATCCACCAGCCTCTTTGTGGGAGAAAATGAAACTGTCTATTCCCAGAAAGATTTTCAGTCTTATAGGGTTGCTGTGAGTTGGACTCAACTAAGTAATAGTGGGTATTTTATATGTTATGTCTCATTTAATCTCTCCAGTAACTGTGAAGAATAATTACGAAGTGAGGAAATTGAGGTCCAGAAAAGGTTAGCTGGCTTAAATAGCAAGTAATGCAGTCATTTATTGAATATTTATTAGCTATCTTTTACATGATAAGCACAATACAAGCATTACTTCATTTTATTTTCCAAATAACTCTAGGAAATAGGTTGTAGTGTCCACAATTTATAAGGAGTCCCTGGTGGTGCCAGGTCACAACTTTGCAGTCTCCAGTTATTGTTGTTGTTGTTGTTATGTGCCATCGAGTTGGTTCCGACCCATAGCGACCCTGTATAGGGTTTCCGAGGGTGTAAATCTTTACGGGAGTAGAAAGCCTCATCTTTCTCCCACGGTGCAGCTGGTAGTTTCCAACCGCTGACCTTAAGATTCGCAGCCCGATTCGTAACCACTACGCTACCAGAGCTCCTTGGAGCAGTTTTATTCTGTGTACATGTGGTCACCGTGAATCAGAATGGACTCAATGGCAAGTAACAACACAGATCCACATTTTATAGCTGACCATAGAGTCCATCGGTGGGGAGTCCATTGATTTTCTCCCATGGTTGCTTTTTCTGGATGGTAATTATTGTGTTGTGCTGATGACCAGCCAATCTGAAGTGATTACTCTTGCTCTCCTTTTTAGGTTAAAATCATTGTTCTCCAAACTTACAAAAATAAAAGTAATTAGTTCACCTTACGAGAATCAGGATAAGTTGACCTTGCTTAGTAGAATTTAATAAAATAGTTTTGTTCATCATTATTTGAAGGTACATATGTTCCAGTCATTGAAATTACATGAAACCTTTGTGTGCTTTTAATTTTAAATTTTAGTTTATCTTGAACAAGCGAGAATAGCAGCTCACATTGGGTCAAATTGTTACGGGAGTAAATACTTCCTGTTTGTGCAGAAACAGGTCTTGAATAGCCAAATTTTATTAGGATTTGAAAGTGTAGATGTCCCTTCTCATGTCCCTGTCCCAATCGTTTCCTGCTAACACCTGTTTTTACCCTTTGACTAATGTTGGAACAACATTCCAACAGTTGTCAAAAGAAATAAAATACTTCTGCTGGTGTCCTGTATATTGTGTGGGTTTTCTTCCACTTTGCATATTCATGATAAGATGAGGCCATGATTGTTCAGAATTGCACTACTCTTTGCCAAGAGGATCGGGTGGTAGAGTGGAGTAATATATCAACACCCCCACACAGTGCTTCATATGTGTGTTCAGCATTAGAGCACAAATTGTGCTTCTATCTTGTTCCTTCCTGACCCAAAGTATGCAGTTCAGCCATATGTGAAGCTTCATCTCAGTAAGTGATTTTTTGGTTTAATTTGATGTCTAAAAAAGTCTCTTAAGATGCAGTCGTGAAATATAAAAATGTATTTTTATATAGAAATGTGAGGAAGATTTTCAACTCATATACTTAAATGTCCTTTTGACTATAGGATTATTAATAAATGTAAATACTTCTTGAAAGCATATTTGCTTTCAGTAATTTCTTCAGAAAAGTTATAAAGGGGCTAAAATACTTTTCCTGTATTTTTCTGTTGTAGATAGGATATAAACCCTAACACGCTCTAAAATTTTATAATCTCTTTATCACAGATATTCTTATATTAATACCTACTGAGCAATTATTTATGCATATTTTTATGCAGTTATGTTGTGGCGCTGTATGATAAGCACTGTGCTACTAACCAATAGGTTGGCAGTTCAAGCCCACCAACCACTCCTCAGAAACCCTATACTTGCTGGTTATTCAATCAGAACCAATTTGACAGCACTAAACAACAACAACAATAGAGTTTATAGCATTTTGGATTCTGCTGTTTTGATCCTGAAAGTACAATGTAGAACAGGACACTGATGGGCCATCATCTGATTCGGGTTACTTAATCCTTTGACTCTGCCTCAGTTTCAAAATTAAGAAGAATAACAGATCATAAATCAAAGAATTATTTTGGAATTGTCTTTGAAAACAAATCAGTATTGTTTATAAATAAATGACTCATAATCCTGAGAGTCTATGATTTTTCCCTGCTGGAATCTGCATTTTATATAGCTTTATTCTAAAGTAATTTTTAAAAGGCACTGTAAGGATTTTCACTTGTAATTGTTGCTGTTACAGTATTTGAACATAGAAATTAAACTTTTATGTTCTGTTTTCAATTTTGTTTTACTTAAAATTGTAGAGCATATAATAAAATACATCCTAACCAAACTTGAGGAGTCCTGGTGTGGCGCTGTGGGTTAATGCGTCAGACTTCAAAGCCATTTGAACTGCAAGGTTGGCAGTTCAAGCTCACAAGCTGCTCCTCGGAAACCCGTACAGGGTCACTATGGGTCGGAACCGATTTGACAGTACTTCATAACAACAACCACCAAACTTTGGTCTGTTATAACAGTGATTTTTGTGGGCATAATAATTTTGAAATAGTGCAGCTTAGAAGTACGTTTGTATAACGTGTTCCTCATTTGTATTCAATAAATTATCTTAACACAAAACTACATGATTATTACAGAAAGTTTGGAAAATATAGGTAAGGAAAAAGGGGAAAAAAACAACCTTGTAACAACTTTTTTATTTGTAGCTTTCTAATAGTTTTCTATAAGGAGCTCTGGTAGCATCATGGTTACAAATCAGGCTGTGAACCACAAGGTCAGCAGTTTGAAACTACCAGCTGTTCTGCAGGAAAAAGATGAGGCTTTCTGCTCCTGTAAAGATTTATAGCCTCAGAAACGCTGTACAGGGTGGCTATGAGTCAGAACCAACTCCACGGCACATAACAACAATATTTTCTATACATGTATAAATACATACTTATTATAAACATAGAACTTATAGAGTTTATTTTTACTAAACATGATTAATATTTTTCTGTTTCATTTAATATTTTATTTTACCTTTTCAGCATAAATGAGGTCTCATAAAGTATAAAATAATTTATTAGAATAAGTAATTGGACTTTTAGATTATTTTAAAATTTCACTTACATAAGCAATTGTTTTGTTTTGTTGTTATTAAGTGCTGTCAAGTCGGTTCCAACTCACAGCAACCATATATTGGGTTTCCGAAGAGTGGCTGGTTTGAACTGCAGACCTTATAATTAGCAGTTCACTGCTATCCTACAGTGCCACACCAGGACTCCAAATTATTGTTATATGTAATAAACATTACATAAATATAAAGCTAGTGTTTGAGTAGAATTTTTTGTTTCTTTACCTATTGTGCTATAAGGGGACAAAATAATAGAATTATAATAAAAACACAATTTAAATTACAGAATCAGTCATATG